GGGGCTGCCAAGGCAACCAGGGCGGGAAGGGTAGTCGGGGTCAGCTAGGATGAAAAGGAGAACCAGGTGGCGACGGTGGCTTGAGCGTACACGGTGGCGCAAGCGGCGACGGTGGTGGTCTAGGTTACCATGGCGCTAGAGGAGGATGAGGACAAGATAGCAGAAATGGTGGCCGCGGGTCAACGGCAGTGGGCGCATAAGGTCTAGGGCGAGGTGGTAAGCCATGATGCGGTTATGATCGTTAGGTTGGTTTAGTCATTCTTTTTACAACTTGCCTCGATCCTTACTGCAAATGGCAAATTCATGCAAGAAAGAGTGTAGCTAATAGGTGGAGGATAACTAGTGCAGGTGAAGACAAACATGCTCAGTGCGGAATTATCTGGCAAGTACTTGCAGCTAACTTCAAGGTTTATTGGCAACAGGTTACAGACATTTGTCCAAGCTGAGCCAATCTTGTGTCCTGTAGGTATTGTCGAGGCAGTTGAGCAAATATGTCACTATCGACATACGTACAACAAAGCTTGGCGTGTTTAGCAAGTTGCTATGAAGGTTGTTTGGGGAGATTGGGACGAGGCATATGAATGCCATGAAAGAAAAAAAAAACCCGAACATGCATTTTCGTGTTGAGGCTCACCATGAGAAGTCAAGAATTGTGGAAGGAGTGCATAGTTGTGTATTTGGCCGTGCGTCATGATATTCGGGCAGTTAGTGGAGGCATTCAAGCACTTGAGGTCGGTGTTAGCAATTGATGGGACCTTCTTGACCGGTAAATTTAGGGGTGTATTGCTCACAAAAATAGGGACATTGTCTGATCAGCCATAATAGAGAAGTGTGTATAATATCTGATAAGCACCCAGGCATATTGAACTCCATCAACAACGAGATACTAGGGCATCAACCCATTCACCATAGATGGTGCACGAGGCACCTATGCACTAACTTCTATATCACTAGAGCTACCCAGGATCAGATGAATGACCTCGAGCGCATATGTCAAATAAACAAGAAAGTTGTGTTCCTATGTGCGGTGAAGTGCCCCATGGGTTTGGTTGGAAAGTGATCAAAGAAGTGGCTAGAGGACAATATGCCACTTAAGGTTAAATGGGCCAGATCATTTGATACCGATGGACGTCTATACAACTTCATGGCTAGCAATATGGTCGAGAGTTTCTACAATGTCTTGAGAGGCATTCAAAAATTCTTTTTATGTCAAAAGGAGAATGTGTAATAACTTTTTTATACCAAGAGCACGATATGAGAGGAGAGATGAGTTGCACAAGAAACGGGGGCGGGTGGGGTAGGAAAGAAAATTCTTGACATTGAAAATAGAGGAGGAGCGAGGGAGGGGGGAATGAGTGAAGAGTCTAGTGGAGACAACAAATGTTGATAAATGTGGGTGTAATTCTTTTTACATCAAGATGAGGGGCTGTGAGGCGCACTATTAAGTAGCGCACTGTTTAGCGCATATTAGTTTGTTTTTTTTACTTTACGCATGCATGACCTATTTAGTTTTATATTTACATCAGATTTTCTTTCATATGACCGATGAAAGGTCTGAGAGTTTTATAAAAAATTAACAGCACCATACATTTAAAAGCAAGAAGTAATTTTTTTTATTAGATAAGGATATTTTTTACCTGGCCTATACATCCAACCGTGTGTATATATATATATATATATGTGTATATACATATGTATATGTATATATATATATATGTATATGTATATACATATATATGTATATGTATATATATGCAGCTATTTAAATTGGGAACTTAGCCATACGAACAACCAAATCTAAAATTCACTCCTATGGAGATATATTTGAAGGATCTTATGGTGCTAGGAATAATTAAATGTGCAACCACTATATCTTCCATTCACTCAAGTACATTCTTGTCACATCACATCTTATTCTCACGTTAAGCTCGCGCTCTTAGTATGATTTCACGTGTTTCTCGCAGGCGTGGTTATTTGTCACATCAAGTTCCAGATCTCATTCAAATGCATTTCGCTACTAGGTAATTAAGTTAATAATTACATTTGTTAGAAGTGTATATCACAATAATAAAATGCAAACGCATTTCCAATATTGCTGATTAAATAACACTTATTCTAAAAGAAAGTAATATAAGAAAGAACATCTCCAAACGATTCTAATGAGGATTGAGCTGGATAGCGGGGATAACAGGTACTCCCTCCGTCCTATAATATAAGGGATTTTGAGTTTTTGTTTATAACGTTTGACCACTTGTCTTATTCAAAATTTTTTTAAAATTATTATTTATTTTATTTGTGACTTACTTTATTATCTACCGTACTTTAAGCATAACTTTTCGTTTTTTATATTTGCAAAAAATAATAAATAAAACGAGTGGTCAAACGTTGCAATCAAAAACTCAAAATCCCTTATATTGTGGGACAGAGGGAGTAAAAATGAAGGGAGCTAGGAGAGCGATGGATATATGCCTTCCTAGCTAGTTCCCACACCCCTCTTAGCTACGGAACTAAAAATAACAACAACAACATAATAACAGAACACATAAAAAAATGGATTAGTATGATTTTTTAAAGTAATTTTCCTATAGACTTTTTTAGAAAAAAAATATTGTTTAATAGTTTGTGAAGCGTGTGCGTGAAAAACAAGTTAGAAAAGGTTGGGACATTCACATAAAAACTCAGCCTAATTAAGCTGGTGTTTATGTCACTTTTAGGTCCGTATGTTTTGATACACCATGAACAGTAGTGCTCCCCCTCTCACATCGTAAAAAGCAGTGCTCCCTCGTAATAATTCAGTGAAATGCAAATCAGTACTATGTTGTGTTCTTAAATAATGTAGAATAAAAATAAAAATATACTACCGTTGTTCCAAAATATACCATTATAAGATGGATACATGTATTAAGAAAATGAAAGTGATTAAAAACATGTTGTGATTGATTGAGAAGAAAAAAAGAAAAAATTAAAGGGAACATAGTTGTAATTTGTTGAAAAAATATATTAAAAAATTAGCTTTATTTTGGTACAAGTTAAGTACATATCTGGGTTAGAAGCAGTGAGAAAGAAGTGAGAGGATTCATTCGATCATTCGTCGCCAGCTACGAAAAATCTACAAGGACAGGAACAAACAGATGGATGTTTCGTCGCCATCGCATGCGGAGCGCGCGGTGAGCCCTGCCTGCCGAATCCACGAGATATCATATCAACCCTGCAGCACTAGCTGCCACTCCGTTTGGTGCAGCGTCCATAACCAAATCTAGAAATAATTGCCATTTCCAATTAAATAATTGCACGTGCACTGCATGTCTGGTTAATAATTAAATAATCTTCGAAAGTTTTGACAAACTTGACCCGGTCCATTGTCGAGATAAGCTCTTTAAATTAAGGGTCAATTTTTCAAATTTTCGCGGAAGTAATCCCTAGCTAACTAGCTAGCTGACCAATTACCATTGTTTCTTTAATATATGACTTATTTGGTTTTTCAAATTTATTTGACTATTCGCTGAAATATTCATGCAAAGAAATCACAAACACGGTAGACATGCTTAAAGTACTTTTGATTATTAGTATTTTTTAAATTTACTTAACAAAGTAACTAATAAATAGGAAAAAATTCTATATGTCCCAAAAACATTGGATAGAAGTTCATTGAACACCCTAAACTTTAAAATTAAACATCCAACCACCGAACATTGTCATACCATTCATATATTACAGACATTGGTTTTTTATATTTTAAAGTTTAAACGAGGGGTTTTGACAAAAATAATATAACATATGCTTACATAAAATCCATCATCCGTTATTAGTTTGTACAGTAATGTTATATTAAGTTCGCACTCATCCCTTCTTTCTATAAAGCTAATGCCCACTAAACACCTAGAGCTCAACATGTAAGTGTTGTATTTATTAGTACTCCTAAAACCTAGATGCAAGCATGCCACATCAACCCATTAAGCACACAAATCTCAATATGCAAGCATATAGTAATTATATCTACAATTTATTTCATTCTAAAACTAAACATACACATGCTAAACCATCATTCTCAAATTATTTTCATATTATTTCAATCCAAATTATTTCATTAATTCTCCAATATCTAATATATATCCCGTGGCAAAGCGTGGGATATCTTTTAGTTTATATAGGAGTACAAGTGAAAGAAATAAGGGGGTAAAGAAGAGAATCAAGTGAAGATTTAACATATACATCCAAGACATATGTCACATATTCAAACTCATCCATTGTATATACAAATTATATAGTAATCATTTTTTTAAACCATCATATGGGCTGCATAGATGGTATTATAAACTACATAGGATTAAACGTCTGGTTTTAAAGTTTAGGGTGTTAGATGGACTATCATCTAAAGTTTACGGGGTATATGGAATTTCTTCCCCAATAAATATTATTCAAAGTTTAAGGAAAAAAATCTACATCATATATTAGAAATGGAGAGGTATATACGTGGGTTTAGACTGATGGTGTGATATTATCTTTCACGTTATATTTTAATAAACACGGATGACCTATAACATGTTTATTTTTTTTCCTCCGAGGAATGGCCCTCGTAACCATGTTGTCTATTCAGATCTGCACAATATTTTTATAATTAATGATTTCTAATATAGTATACATGACAGGCTATCATCTTACTATAATAGAGCGTATGGCCCCATCATTTGGCTTATTACGGAATAAGCCAAACGACATATTTGCAAATGAAAAATAATTTGTAAATAAAACTTTTTTATATGTGTTTTTAGTGATCTAAAAGCAAAGGCTAAAAAGAAAACTTCGGTGAAAATCCCTAAAATCATGATAAGTATAAGCATAAGCGAAAAATGAGGCTTGTTTCTCCCTTGTTTTCTCATGATTTCACATCATCATAGCATACTCCCTCATACTATAAAATTGTTCATGCGCAAGCTACTCCCTCACCTAGTCGATTAATTATATTGGCCGCGTGGTCACTAGCATGCATCATTTCGTTAATTAATTAATTGCTCTTACGTACCCTTCCATTTTCGGTGTATAAATAGGCAACCTCCAGTGGACATGGCCTCTTCAGAGATACATATACCATCAACTCACGTAATGGATGTCCTCGTACTACTCATCTCACTGATCCTCCTGGTGAGTGTGAATTTGCTGTTAATTTAGTTTAGAAATTAACCTCTGAAGATACATTCTGCGTGACAGTTAATTGATTATATATATGTTTATATGCGGCAATCAATCGTATCTCTCCTGTCAGTAATTTTTACCAACGTAACTTAATTTATCAAGGTATATATACCTTACAAAGTGTAAACCCTGCTTACTACTCTTACTTATTAGTATCTCTGCTATCACTTAATTTTTTTTTCATTTACTCGGAATTGATTGCTTTACATTGTTTGTCAATTATGTTAGGCTTTGTTCGGCAACAATATACAGTGTTTTCTTTTAAAAAATATTTTGTGTTTCTAAATGAAGAGTTAGCTAGCTAGTTTTGGAATATGTAATAACATGGGAAGAATAACTGTAAACTAGCATGCACTACCCAGTACCTACATAGAGTGCTTATATTATGGTATATATACACATTATTTAGTTTTCATTTGATTTATTGTCTAGATTAGTTTTTTCTGTACTTCATATGTTGGTGAGTATACATGTCAGTTGTAACTTAGGTGATGTCACAAATTATATTATAAGTTGCAACAATTTTGGAATGCACGATAATCATAAATATAAGGCAAAATTTGCTACACGACACGTAAAAATTGTGTAATTAGCTGAGGGACACCGCAAAAACGTGACACTGCCCCAACACACTACAAAAACTGTGAAATTTGCTGTAGGACACCGTGCACATTATTTTATCATTTTCTAGCTGAAAGTGGTGAGAATATTTTTGAAATGCCCAGATTGCCCCCGCACGTCACCACACACAGACAAAAAAAACAATTCTCCATTAGGATGGCCGAAGGGGCGCAGCTAGCTGCGGCCGGAGGGGCGGCGCGAGCGGCGGGGCACGGCCTGGTGGCGGCAGCGCCGGTGCGACGGGGGCGCAGCCGAGCGGAGGAAGAGTTCGACCCTGGCGTTGGCACTGGGCACGGCAGACCGAGGATGGCACGACGATGCCAGCGGCTGGGCGGAGGTAGCGCGGCGTTCACGGCGTGGACCCGAAGGCGACGACATCGACATTGAGGGCATGGTGCTGCTACAGCCTGCTTCTGGGGCGCGCGGTGGCTGCCGTCGGAGGAGGAGGAGGAGGCCAGCTGGCGCGACGAGCCGCTGATGGTCGCGCCGGACAGGCTGGACGCGCTCGGGCCGTACATGACGGGCGGCACCGCTGGCAACGACGCCCCGCGGATCGACCCTCCCGCCAAGGACGTGTCGTTGCTTCCACGCTGCAGTGCGCTGGTTGCCGTCGCCGAGAAGGAAGTACTGAGTGAACGCGGCCGCTAGTACTGAGTGAACGCGGCGCCCTTGGTTGAACAAAAAGCAACGAGAAAGAGAGAGAATGGGAGAGAGAGAAAAGATAAGGAAGAATAAAGAAAAAAGAAAAAAAATGAAGGATAGAATCGTACTTACACAGGTGTTTCTCTCTCCAATTCCTCCGGATATAATAAAATTATCCGACGGGTGTCCAACAGCAAATTACCGGTTTTTTGTGGTGTTCTTTAGCAAATTTACGTTCTTGCGATGTCCACAGGCTAATTATACATTTTTTTGGATGTCCTGTAGTAAATTTTGCCTAAATATAATGCAGATCGGAGGAAGCAGCGGTGCAAACATGGCGGTTGCTGTGACCAAACCGTCCCCAACAGCGATGGAGTATTGGCAGAAAAAATTCCCTGAGACACCCATGCCCCCAGCCATACTAGACCTGCTGACACCACTGCCTACAGGTCTCTATCTTTCTGCTGATAGTTATTAAACCAAGAAATATTTAAATTTATATGGTTAAAATTTAAGTACTTGTTGAGACAAATATATTGCTAGATATAATTTACTGTACATTAAATACAAACATTTAAGAAGATATTAATACACAGTTTTGAAAGTGTAATATAACACCACTTTTTCAAAAAGACTAGCCTTTTTTTCCCAAGCCTCCTATTACACTGCTAGTAAAAATCGATTTTCGCAGGTGATCTAAATAAAGAGGGGACGAGTGTGTTGTCAAAAATGGTTTTTTTAACTACTATGAGATCATATAGTTCTTTTTCCTGATAACATGGAAAAAAGACGGACACACAAACACTATCATGCACATACAATATATATATGAGTGTGCCCTCCTAAAACATTTAGGAAGTGAGGAAGATTGGGAATCAGATCGATATACATATATATAATGATGTTTACACTTTATTCTGTTAGCAGTTAACATGCCAATCAATTTCCTATATCAAGCAGAATACAAGAACAATAATGCTATTGAGTTATATTACATTGATTTTATCGTCTGCCCATTAGCAGTTTGGAACATTGTTTGCAAGGAACGAATGGTACTGAAGTTGGATCCTATATATTATTGATTCATCTAAGAAAACTAAATATTTACCTTTCATATCGGCTACACGGGCTACAAAGAAACTAAAGGAAAGATGTATGTTGTAATACGCTGGATATCTTATATATATATCAACTGAAAACAAAAAGAATTGGGCCACATTAGCTGCAGAAGGACTCAAGGAAGTTTCTGTGTCATATGGAAGTGAAGGTAAAGAGGAGCCTAAGAAAGCATTCCCCATGGGACGATATATGTTAGACAAGGAACGAGAAATGACTTCATGTATAGATAAAGGTTAGAACGTTTGAATTTGGTATATTGTATTTTTGTATATGTCATTGAAATATATAAAGAACTAAATAAATTGTTTCTATATGGGCCTTGAACTAGAGACAAACTCAAAGAAGTCCAGGTATTAGAGAACATTAGCGTATTGTATATTTGTAAAAGTTGTTAACATAAAAAGAAAAAATATAAAAATATTTTCTGTATTGCCTATGAATTGTAGAGGACCTCAGAGAAGTCTCAGTGTCATATGACTCAAACGTGAAACTAAGCAATTTGTTCCCAACAGGTATGCACATCAGAAATATATACTAACAAGCGGAGGTTACATTAGAACTTGTGGATGTTCATGTTACATGTAGTGTATATATGTTGCATACATGTATATTTGGAATTATAAAATGGGGGCATATGAGTTGCAGCGGGACTAAAGGAAGTCTCCATGACATATGGAAGTGATGGTGAAGAGGAGCCAAGGAAAACATTCTCTCAAGTAGGGTATATGTTAGATAAGGAACGCAAGAAGTCTTCAGATGTAGATGAAGGTACAATATTTGAGAGTGCATTATGTGTTCTGTGTTTTCTCTATGTTGTTGACATATTTGGAAAAACTACATAAATTATTTCTACATGGACCATGAACTGTAGGGGAACTCGGAATAGTCTGGGTGTCATATGGCCCAAAAGTGAAACTACACAATTAGTTCCCCACAGAACATAAGAAATAAATATACATAAACGAAGATGATATTATTTGGAACTAAAGGAGATTAGTGTAATGTATTGCATGTCTCATATAAATGTCTATTGAAAATAAAAACAAATGAGCCTTACGAGCTGCAGATGGACTAAAGGAAGTCTCGGTGTCATATGGAAGTAATGGCGAAGAGGAGACAAGCAAAACCTTTGCTATGGGAGGATTCATGGCAGATAAGGAATGCGAAATGTCCCTACAAGGAGAGAAAGGTGAGAATAAGTAGTATACACACAATTCATGAATTGTATTTTTTATATATTGTTGACATAATATAGAAAACCAAATAAATTGTTTCGACATGAGCTGCCAACTTTAGAGGAACTCAATGAAATTTCATTGCATATGGTCCAGATGTAAAACTAAACAATTTGTTTCCCACACAACACAAGAAAAAAAATATATATATGTATATGTATATGTATATGTATATATATATATGTATATACATATATGTGTATATATTTATATAACACAAGAAAAAAAAAATATATATATATATGTATATGTATATGTATATATATATACATATATACATATATATATATATATACATATATACATATATACATATATACATATATATATACATATATACATATATATATACATATATATATATATATATATATACATATATATACATATATATATACATATATATACATACATACATACATAGATACATATATACATATATATATAGATACATATACACATATATAGATACATATATATATATATATACATATATATACATATACATATATATATACATATATATATATATATATACATATACATATACATATACATATACATATACATATACATATACATATATATATACATACATATACATATACATATATATACATATACATATACATATACATATACATATATATATATACATATATATATATATATACATATATACATATATATATATACATATATACATATATATATATATATATATATATATATATATTCAAACAAATGCGAGATTATTCGGGACTAAAAGATGTTAGTGTATTGTATTCTATGTAAGACATAGATGTCTACTGAAAATAAAAATAAATGGGCCATACGAGTTGCAGAGGGACTAAAGGAAGTCTCGGTGTCATATGGACCAGAAGATGAAGATAAGAAAAGCAAAGTATTCCCTGCAAAAAATTGGTCAAACAATGAATACGAAAAGTATTTACACAAAAGCGAAGGTCAGAATATTTGGAACTAAGATGTATGTTGTAATACGTTGGATATCTTATATATATGTCTACTGAAAACAAAAGGAAATGGGTCATATTAGCTACAGAGGGATTGAAGGAAGTCTCTGTGTCATACGGAAGTGAAGGTAAAGAGGAGCCGAGGAAAGCATTCCCCATGGGACAATATATGTTAGACAAGGAACGAGAAATGACTTCACACACAGATAAAGGTTAGAACATTTGCATTTGGTATATTGCATTTTCATATATGTCATTGAAATATATAGAGAACTAAATAAATTGTTTCTATATGGGCCTTGAACTAGAGACAATCTCAAAGAAGTCCGCGTATCATATGGCCCAAAAATGAAACTAAGCAATTTGTTCCCTACTGGGTATGAACACAACATGTAGTATATAATACATATACACGCAACAGAAGCTGAGGATATTTGGAACTGTAGGGCACTAGTGTAATATATTTCATGTATTTCTTATATACATGTATATTGATTTTTTTTTAAAAAATGGCCTTATGAGTTGCAGATGGTCTAAGGGAAGTTTCGGTGTCATATGGAAGTAAAGGTGAAGTGGTGACTCGGAAAGCATTTCCCATGGAACGATACGTGCTAGACAAAGAACCTAAAAGGAATCTGCACAGAAACAAAGGTCAGAATATTTTTAAGTACAGTTGATGTATTGTATTTTCATATATCATATTGACATATGCAGAAAACTAAATAATTTTTTTCTAAATGGGCAACCAACTTTAGATGAACTTAGAGAAGTCTCGGTGTTGTATGGCTCAAAAGGGAAGCTAAAAAATTTGTTCCCCACTGGGTATGGACATAAGAAACATAAGCATGCAAATGAAGGTGAGAATATTTGAAATTAGCGGATATTGGTGTAATATATTTGGTCTATATCTTATATACACATGTTTATTGAAAATTTCAAAAATGGGATGAATGAGCTACAGCAGATCTAAAGGAGGTCTCAGTGTCGTATGGAAGTAACGATGAAGAGAAGCCAAGGAAAGCATTCCTTAGAGGAGGGCTTTTTTTAGGCAATGAATATGAAAAGTCTGTACACATAGACAAAGGTGAGAATATTTGGAAGAACATTTGGCGTATTGTATTTTCGTAAAAGTTGTTGACATATATAGATAATATAAAAATATTTTCTGTATTGCCCGTAAATTGTAGAGGACCTCAAAGAAGTCTCAGTGTCATATGGCTCAAATGTGAAACTAAGCAATTTGTTCCCAACAGGGTATGCACATCAGAAATATATATTAACAAGCGGAGGTAACATTAGAACTAGTGGATGCTCATGTTACGTATATTGTGTGTATATGTTATATACATGTATATTTGAAATTATAAAATGGGCCATATGAGTTGCAGCTGGACTAAAGGAAGTCTCCGTGACATATGGAAGTGATGGTGAAGAGGAGCCAAGGAAAACATTCTCTAAAGTAGGGTATATGTTAGATAAGGAATGCAAGAAGTCTTCAGATGTAGACGAAGGTACAATATTTTGGAGTGCATTATGTATTTTGTATTTTTCTCTAGGTTGTTGACATATTCGGAAAAACTAAATAAATTGTTTCTACATGGACCATGAACTGTAGAGGAACTCAGAGAAGTCTCAGTCTCATATGGCCCAAAATTGAAACTAAACAATTAGTTCCCCACAGAACATAAGAAATATATATACACAAACGAAGATAAGATTATTTCGAACTAAAGGATGTTAGTGTAATGTATTGTATGTCTCATATAAATGTATATTGTAAATAAAATAAATTGGCCATATGGGCTGTAGGGGGACTAAAGGAAGTCTCGGTGTCATATGGAAGTAATGGTGAAGAGGAGACCAGCAAAACCACTCCTATGGGAGGATACATGGTAGATATGAAAAACGAAAAGTCTCTGCAAGCAGAGAAAGGTGAGAACAGGATGTGTGCACAATTCATGAATTAATATATTGTTGACATAATATAGAAAACTAAATGAATTGTTTCTACATGGACTGCCAACTGTAGAGGAACTCAAAGAAGTTTCAGTGTCATACGGTTCAGATGTAAAACTAGGCAATTTGTTCCCCATAGAACACAAGAAATATGTATACAGAAATGAAAGTGAGATTATTTTGAAACTAAAGGAGATGTTAGTGCAATGTATTGTATGTCTTATATAAATGTCTATTGAAAATAAAAATAAATGAGCCATACGAGCTGCAGATGGACTAAAGGAAGTCTCGGTGTCATATGGAAGTAATGGTGAAGAGGATACAAGCAAAACCTTTGCTATGGGAGGATACATGGTTGATAACGAACGTGAAATGTCTCTACAAGGACAGAAAGGTGAGAATAGAAAGTATACTCACAATTCATGAATTGTAGTTTTGTATACATTGTTGACATAATATAGAAAACCAAATAACCTGTTTCTACATGCATGAGCTACCAACTTTAGAGGAACTCAATGACATTTCATTGTCACATGGTCCAGATGTAAAACTAAACATTTTGTTTTCCACATAACACAAGAAATATATATATGCAAACAAATGTGAGATTATCTGGGACTAAAAGATGTTAGTGTAATGTATTCTATGTAAGACATAGATGTCTACTGAAAATAAAAATAAATGGGCCATACAAGTTGCATTGGGACTAAAAGAAGTCTCGGTGTCATATGGAAGTAATGATGAAGAGGAGACAAGAAAAATCATTCCTATGAAAGGATACATGGAAGACAGGGAACACGAAAAGTCCCTACAAGCGGAGAAAGGTGAGAATAGGAAGTATGCATAAAATTGAATTGATAAGTATATTGTTGATATAATACAGAAAACTAAATAAATTGTCTCTACATCGGCGTCAACTATAGAGGAACTCAAAGAAGTTTCAGTGTCATATGGCCATGAAGTAAAACTAAGCAATTTGTTCCCTACGAGATTCGGACATAAGAATTATCAACACACATTCGAAGGTGAGAATATTTGGAAATAGCAAGTTTGTCTGTTATACTTTCATATAACTTATGAATGCGTCTAGAAAAGCAATTAGGGTATTCATACTGTAAGTTGTTTTCCTTTGAACCTTTTGTGTTTCCCTTAAAATTGTCTAAGCACGTACATTTTGATAGAGCGATGCTATTACATATCTCGGTTACCAAGAGACACTAAATTTTATGTTAAAAATATATTTGTCACCTCTCACCATCATCCAGGACTGTAAAATTTCTCACCATCATCCAGGACTGTAAAATTTCTCATTTTGATGACTTTCTTAATCTTGTATAGCCTATCGATATATGCATCGGCATATATATATATATATATATATATATAGTTCACTATGCTTGTAACTCAAAGATACAAAGTGGATAATTGTAATAATAATAAAATAAACATGGTTCACCAATCTAGAAATTTCAACCATTGGCGGATCTTAATATATACTCTTTCCTTGTCAAAATATATATCTATCTTTGTATTTCAAATTTTTACCTCTTAACCACTTAAGAAATGCATTTCCTTAAGATCTTATTCGGTTTAGAGGGGATTAAAGAGGATTGGAGGGGATTGAGGAGGAATAATTCCACACCACAATATGTGTGGAATAAATCTCCCCCAATCCGTCCCTCACAGGGATTAACCAATCAAGGCCTAAGGGAGCTACCAAAATTTATCTCACAAGTTATACTTTCAATTCTTTTTCAAACTCTCTGAGACATATACATACATGTGTGAAACATTAATTTTCTTTTTTTTTCTTTCTTTTCTATATGGTATATAAGGATAGAATGATTATTTTATTCATACCGCTGTTCGCTGCATGCGAGGATGACTTGGCATGCTCACGTAGCACCTTTTGTGGGTCCAAGGACTATATTAACCCAAATGATTAATTTGAAAGACTTATTTGAACGATTTGAAACCTCAAGGACTAAACTGAGCTCGAAGCGAAACTATAGGGATCATATTCACCCTAAAATAAACATGGTTCACCGGTCTAGAAATTTCAAGCATTGGCAGATCTTAATACATACTCTTTCCATGTTAAAATGTAGCTATCTTTGAATTTCAAATTTTTACCTCTTAACCACTTAAGAAATGCATTTCCTTAACGGAACTACCAAAATTTATCTCACAAGTTGTACTGCCAGTTCTTTCTCAAACTCTTTGAGGCGATATACATACCTCTAGCTATTCTACGTTGTTGGTTCATTCGCAGGAATGGATCATGGACGCCATGTTCACGCACACGGCAACAAGATGCAGCAACTGGCCGACGTCTTCTTCTTCCGCGACGCCCTCCGGCCGGGCTCCGTCATCACGCCGACCATCCCGCCGACGACCTCGCTGCCGGCCTTCCTCCCTCGCCACGTCGCCGACGCCATCCCGTTCTCCGCCGACCGCTTTGCCGACGTCCTCGCCATGTTCGCGCCGGCGTCCCTCGCCATGGCGCGCGAGATACGGTGGGCGCTCGACACCTGCGGCCAGCGGGCGGCGGCGCTGCTCCCGGGCGAGAAGGCCGGCTGCGCCACCTCCCTCGAGTCGCTCGCCGACCTCGCCGCGTCGCTCCTCGGGACGCGCGACGTCCGCGCGTTCTCCGCCGCCGACCTTCCCACCGACGCCGCGACCACGCCGGCGCGGCGCGGGAGGTACAACGTGACGTCCGTGCGGGAGCTCTCGGCGATGGCTGGTTCCGGTTCGTCGTCGTCGTCGGAGCCGGCGCCGGCTGCCGTCGTGGCGTGCCACGACCTGACGTACCCGTACGCCGTGTTCTACTGCCACAGTACCAAGCCGACCGCCGCGTACGCGGTGACGCTGGTGGCGGCGACCACCGGGGACGGCGACGGCGAAGGCGAGGCGGCCTCGCCGGCGAAGATGGAGGCGCTCGCCGTGTGCCACCTGGACACGTCGCGGTGGAGGGCGGACAACCCGTTCTTCGTGGCGCACGGCGTCAAGCCGGGGGAGGTGTCCGTGTGCCACTTCCTCACCAAGCTCAGCATCGTCTGGGTCCCACGCCACGAGCAGGGGGGCCCACGCGCAGCAGCTTAATCATCATCGATGATGTAAACAAGCTCTACAACCTAAAGTGAACAATTTGGCGTGGTTTGTGCGTAATTTGCAGCAACGGTCGATCGAGCTATCTACTTATATAGTATGTAAAAAGTGAATAATTCAGTTTGTCATCGTGTGAACCACATGTGTGCTGCATATTTGTGCGTGTGCATGTTCATAATTAATATGGATATTGTGTCTTCAATATGGGTACATACACAAGTGCTTTTATTTAACAGACTATCTAAAAAACTGTAGTAAGTTTTTAATAAAAAAATTTCAAATCTAACTATGGCCCTGTTTAGATCTCACCCTAAAATTTTTTACCTTGTCATATCGAACGTTTGAACACCTGCATGAAGTATTAAATATAGGCTTAAAAAAATAACTAATTGCACGTATTAGGACTAATTTGCGAGACGGATCTTTTAAGCCTAATTACTCTATGATTTGATAATTTGGTGCTACAGTAAATATTTGTTAATAACAAATTAATTAGGCTTAATAAATTCATCTCGCGGTTTACTGATGGATTCTGTAATTAGTTTTTTTTTATAGTGCCCGAACACTCTATGCGACACCCTATATAATATTTGATGTGGCACGTCAAAACTTTACACCCCTAGATCTAAACACCCCCTATAATTGTAATATAATCCACTATAACTAAAATATAATTTGTATATAATTATTAAAATAATATATGCAACTTTATACCTAACTTATATAGAAATTATACTGTAATTAGTTACAGTGCAGTTACACTGTAGTTATACTTCATTAAATCATATTTAACTAAGTTAAATATGATTTATTGCGCAATAAACTTGATTTATGATGCCAGCCAAGGGGGGGGGGGGAAAACCTTACACCGACAGGCGCGTCCGACGCATCGTTGTCTAAGAGGGACGGGCACATGTGGCCGGGCGGGCGCACCACATGGTGCGCACGTGGCGCCGACAGGCGCGTCCCACGCATCGCTGTCTAAGAGGGACGGACACACGTGGCCGGGCGAGCGCACCACATGGTGCACATGTGGCGCCGACGCGGAACCCATGCAGCACCGATGTGACGGTGATCGGACGACCACAACAAAGGGGCGAGGGCTCACTAGCCAACCGGCTGGGGAGTGGCAGCGCACGGTCCGGCGGTGACTGTTCGATGCAGCAGCATGCACGACATGTGACAGAGGGAAAGAGGAAAAGGATTCTGGTGCTCATCAAGCGTGGGTGACGGGAGAGGCGGCGGCGGAAGCTTGCGATGGCGACGAGATGGTGGCGGCTGACATGGGACGATGGCGAGGATGGCGCTCCGGCGGCCACGGGCTTCGTGGAGGAGGTGGTCGGGGTGCGTTGCAGCTTGGGGAAGGTGGAGAAGGACAGGGTTCAAAATTTCGCCGAAACAGGGTCCAGAATTTCTGAAAATCGGGTTTATCGGTGGGCACCCAAGAAAACAGTATTGGCCAAAAATTTCGGCCCCTTTTGAATTTGCCGCGGCATTTTTCCGGCGGAAAAAGTACACCCAAGGTCCCTCAACTTGTCATCGAGATACAAAATCGTCCCCCAATCGCAAAACCAGATACCAGACATCCCTCAACTAATAAAACCATTCGCTTTAGGTCCCTCGGTGGTTTTGACCCCGGTTTTGTCCGATGTGGCGGCTGAGTCAGCGTGGGACCCACGTAGACCCCACATGTCAGGCAATCCATGTCAGCCTCCCCCTTCCTCCTCTCTTCCTCTCTTCTACACACAGTCACACACCCAGGCGGTAGCGCGTCGGCAGCGGCGGCGGTAGCGCGTCCATGGCACCACGGCGAGGCGGGGTTAGCACGTCCACGGCGATGGCTGGCAGCGGCGGCAGTGGCGGGGGCCGCGACGGGGAAGAAGGGAGGGCGTCGGCGTCGGCGGTGATAAGGGAGGGGAGGGCGTCGCCACGTGGGCGAGGTCGAGGACGGAGACCCCGGCGGCGGCCCGGCGGAGCTCCTCGGCGGCCAAAGATGGGCCCGGGGAGGCGGTAGCGAGGCGGGAACGGTGCGGGCGTGCAGGTGGCGGCAGCGCGCGCCTCCTGCTGCCTTCGCGCGCCATGCCGGCGCCCGCGCGGCCACGCCCTCTCCGTCCCGCTTCGGCGCGTCCGGCCGGCGCCCAGCGGCCTCCCGGCTCACACACTCACTTTGACCTCCCGCTCTGCAGACGCCAACATCGTTGGTCATCTTCCGGTCCTTCCCTTGCTTGGGTGACGACATCACCCTGCAGCAATTCCTCCTTGGAGACTGCACGCGCGTCGGTTTAAGAGCAACATTAAAAAAATCAAGGTTTTTTGTTGTACAAATCAATTCAGTTTTTTAACTACGGTGTGTGTTTGATTACCCTTTTCCAGAGGTCAGGGTCGGGCTTCTTGAGGACGATGACGCGGTCGAGCAGAGTGGCAAGGTCAGGGATGCGCCAGCCGCAATTGACGGGCGCGACGCGGTGGCGCTCGTACTCGGTGACGGTGGTGTTGCGGCGGCGGTCGAGGCGGGACTGCCGCATGTAGTACACCTGCGGCATTTGGCATGGTTGGCACGCCAGGGGCCGCGTGTTGAAGACGTACGCCGTGTAGTCGGCACAGCGGTACCAATTGAGGAACGTGCGCATGGGCATCTCCATCTCCGCGGCGACAGCACCCCGCGCGTCACCACCACCGCGAACCCCCACAACACTGACACCGTCCACTGCTTGTCGCCGTCGTAGCACACCGACTGCTGTGCCACGCCCGCCGATACGGCGCCGTCATCCTCGATCTCCCCTTCCTCTGCTGCCTCTCCCGAACCGCCTCGATGGCAGCCATCGGTGACGCCGTCGCCGCCGCATTGGCCCTCGGCCCTCGGCGCGTTGCAGTTCATGACGGCGGTGGGGGAGATCGCGCGCGGGCGGGCGATGCCGGCGCTGGCGCCGGCGTTGGGCCGCGACGCTATCCCGTGCCCGCCATCCACCGCCGTCGACCCGCTCCCCGCCCCGACGGAGCTCCGCCTCCAGTACCTCACCATGGACATCTCGCCGCCGCCGCCGCCGCCTTGCTCCCCTGCTCCCGCGTCGTCTCCGTCATCACTGCCGCCATATCGCCGGCCGCCGGACCTCCTCTCCCACCTCGCACCATCGGTCTCTTCCCCACCTGTCGGCCAGCAGCGCCGGCCTGCCCAGAGCCCCCAGAGAGAAGAGTGAGAGAGAGAAGGGGAAGGGAGAGAAGAGGGGAAAGAAAGAGAGGCTGACTGGATAGGCTGACATGTGGGGCCCACGTGGGTCTAAGCAGACACGTAGGGCAAAACCTGCATCAAAACCGCCGAGGGCCGCCGAGGGATCTATTTTGACCAGTTTTGTATAATTAAGGGACCCCATATATCTGGTTTTGCGATTCGAGGACGCTTTTGTATCCCGATGGCAAGTTGAGGGACCTTTGGTGTACTTTTTCTTTTCCCGGTCCACAGCCTCCCAAAATTTTGGCCCACGCGCGGACGCGCCCTAGCCCAGTCAAAGTCCTAGAGCCCACTTCCAAGTTCCAATCCCGTGACCCCATCCACTCCCAACCCCGTGCGCCGCCTCCTCCTGTTCGAGAGTCGAGAAAGAGGCGAGACGAGAGCTGCCGCCGACGTGGCCATACATCGATATGCCGCCGGCCGGCGCCGTCGCCATGCATCTATCTGCCGCCGCCGTCGCCATTCATTGAGCCCCAGTGCGCCGCCTTGTCCTGTTGTTCGAGAGTTGAGAGGCGAGAACTGCCGCCGCCGTCGCCATACATCTGGATGGCGCGGACGCCACATGGAGCTGCATCATCCCCCTCGCGTGTCCGCTTCCTCCAAAACCCGTGCGGCCGTGCCTTAGCCTCCTCGAGAAGCTCTTGGACAGCGGCACAGCGCGGCCTCTCCTCCCTCCCGTCGCCATGCATGCTTGATATTGTGCTCTTCGATTGCTTATATGATGCTTTGCACTCAGAGAGTACTGGTTATTTACAGACTACATACTCCCTCCCCTCCGTCCCAAAAAAAAGACAAACCCTATCTTTCCGTACCAATGTTTGACCATTGCTACGTGGTTCTTTGCACGCGTGAGAGAAACAACCCGTGACGCCGCCGTTCTTCCCTTCTGTCCACTCCCCGTCTCCTCTTTTCGTTGTGCCGCCGTTCCTCACCTCAGCCACGCCGTCGCTGCCGTTTCTCGCCTCGCCGTGCCGTAGCTACCGTTTCTCGCCTCGCCGCGCCGCCTCCGCCGCGCCGCCTCCGCCGCTGTGGTTCCTTTTCTCGTCACGTCGCCGTCTAGACACCGCCACTCTCTGCATGCATCGATTCACGGTGGGTAGAGCTGAGCGGCGCCTCGGCGTGGGCAAGTGCGGCTCCCCACCCAATTCGTGTCCCCCCCATGGTGTCGGGCAGCCACGCTAAGAGCCCGGGTCCCCTAGTACCCTGGCCCTTGTTGATATCCCTGCCTTCCTACTAGCCCCTCTTCAAATCTTGTGCTCAGGTGAAGTAAATTAACGATTTGTAATCAGTCAATGTGAATATGTGATTTGCGAATCAGTGAATAGTGAATGTGAATATCAGAACGTTCTGCTGATTTGCTATATTGTAGTTTGTATATTGGATTTGCAAAACATGAAGTGCACACAAAAGTTCAAGAGAAATATATTTTTCTTTAAAGACGCACCTTGATAATGTCATTGTGAAGGTTTAATACGAGAACAAAATTAGTTCTAAGGCTAGGTTTATACTTAGATGTAAGATTTCTTTGAAAACAAGGATTGGCATTTCGTGGGCATAATGAAAGTGATAAATCTAGCAAATAGAGGGAATTTCCTTCAGCTTTTGAAATGGCTTGCACAAAATAATTAGTAAGTTGATCAGGTGATTTTAAAATGGCTTAGTCACATATATTGAGCAATATAGGCGAGGAAGACATAATAAAAACTTTCATGGCTATGAATAAGCGTAGATTAAGGTATCGGCAAGTAATTTTCTTTCCATGTCTAAGATCTTTTTTATTTTAAATATCTATATGATAGTATTCGCACGTTTTGAACTTGCTTGTTATAAATTAGCCAATTATTGATGTTAAATGATATTATTTCTATGTTTGTATCGCCTTTTTACTAAATTTTTACA